TTTTTGTAAATATTTCGCGAAAATATCAACCAGAAAAACAGAAAATACCTTCTCCAAGTGAATTTTTAGACGCCAAATGAATTGAAATATCACGACCGAGTGTGCGAAAGTGTAGTCGTAATGTAATCGTAGCATCATGATTGTGACGATGAAGCAACTATGATTGGACGACCAATGTGCAGAAAGCCTAACGCGGCGCTTACGCCGAGCAAATGGAATTTTCATTTTTGACAGGGCGTTACGTGTTGAAGTTGGATGCAGAAGACGGAAAGAACAGAGAACGTTAAATACAGAGAAGCAGCAATTACGAATCAGAGTGTAAATTGTCAAAAGCTATCAAAATCTGATTGCGTACACACCACACCAGCCCACACTGCTGTGGAACATAAGAGCGGCGGAGTAACAGAGCTGAGCGAGAAATAACATTTCGTATATTTAATGAATGTTAAGCATTTTGAATGATTTACGCAGTGTTGCCAGAGAAATTTCGTTTGGAGCTAAAACGGTCGAAAAAAGCTAAATAATACTAATAGTAGCTAAAATGAAGAGCTACATATTTTTGTTAAGGTTGAGCATTTATTGACGTAAGGTTGTTTTTACATAACATAAAAACAACGAATTTTATAAAATTAAGTGCTGAAAAAATCGTTTAAAACCAAAATAAGGTGCATATATTTCGATTTCGCTGCTATGGCACTTATAACATCGAACTAAAAATACTTTACAAATTGTTAAAGTCTGTAATTTCAGATATTTGAATTAGGGCGTGTGTGAATCGGTAACAAAGTTCTATGGGCAGAGCTGCTGAATAATATTTTTACTATGGTGAGACAGTTTTGCTAATCTGCTGTGTGAAATGAAATATTTTTTCATAGAGGTACATTTTCGATACCACAGATTTATGCGGAATAAAATATTACAAATTGCTGTGAAATTAATATTTTAAGAACACATCTACCGTCGTTGATTGCAATTCATCAATTTAAGCTTTTATTTAACGAAAAATTACACACATCAACAATCTTTGCGATTGTCAAAATTTTCTATGCATTTGTTAAAAATTACACTAGCCTCATGAGCTACTGAAATTTTATTCACCTCATAGTTGTTAAAAATTTACTCGGCGGGAACTTTTTTATCGATTCACACACCCAAGAGTGCTGAGGCATCGTGCAAGAAGTGAATACATTTGTAGGTACATATGTATGTACATGTACTGATGCAAAAAATGCAATTTAAAAATGCTAATAAAATCTGATTTAATGCAAAGGGGTGCATAAAAGTGTAAACATTAAGTGCATTCCACGTAAGCAATCTTTTTGAGAGAATGTGAATCTATTCACGTTGCTTAATATTTATTGAAAAGAAGGATAAATCCACAATTGTATAAGAATTCTTTAAAGAAATATACAACCGTAAAGCCTATAAAATGGTATTCAGCCGAATCTAAATAGCCTAATTAGCGTCTGCACCAACCTCGTCAAAAAGCAACCACCACCACCACCTGAGCTACTCAGTACATATATCCATACCCGAATCGCAAAAAAATTGTGGAAATAAAATGCAAAACAATAGCAATTCTGGCCGTCAAGGTAAAGAGAAACGTTTCTCTATACACGACGCATTCGAAGAGGAGACAGACGAGGCAATACGCGTTTATGGTTCCACAGTGATTTCAACGCCTATGCGTGCCAAGCAACGTTCAACGGACGATGTCTCCATTCGCATACAGGATCCTAAGTAAGTACATAAATATTCATAGGGGTATTCTCCGAGTCTTGCAAAGCCCTTGCACGGTGCACGGATTGCACGGTTTGCAAAGCTGTCCCATACGAAAACCGGTTTTTACCGTGCAATCTGTGCACCATGCAAGGGCTTTGCAAGACTCAGAGAATACCCCTCATATGTATATATGTATGCACACTAGACCACGTCAAAAAATAAAAATCCAATGCGACCGGTATAAAACTGAAATTTTAGCATTTGGTATAGTAATGATCCTCCATGAATCTCTCACATCTCTAGGACAATTGCAAGAGGTGCCGCCGCGAGCCTTTAATTTTCCGATAAGAATTACACGTAAGAAAATGAGTCAATACTTGATTTATATATATTTTGAGGACAATATAATTTTGTAGGATAAATGAAAATGCACGACCATAAGGACCATAAATTATAATATATTTCCAAAAGTTTAGTCAAAATATGGATAGGTATATCGGTATCAATTAAAAGAACAATTCAAAACAAGATAAACCGTTACTTTTGTTTTCAATTATCCTTTTGGAACATGCTAAATTTTGTAGAAACTTAGTTTAATTTAAATCCTATTAATATATATAAGGATATTGAAGGACCAAGATTGCAAAGGATATTTTAGTTTAATTAATTTTGTCGACATCTTTGGGAGAAATCCTGCCGTCCTATTAAAAATTGAAAGATGCCGATTTACTAGAAATGCGCTATAATATGGGAAACATATCGGGTTTTTCGTATTTCCAAAGTTTTCATACACGATTAATACAAGTTATTAACTAAAACTTCAACTAAAAGTCGCCACAAGTTATCGTTATCCTACGGCCATAAAACTTCATATATGTACATACATATATACCATTTAGGCTAAAAAGCACAAATATTTTGACCAAGTTTTGGCTATATTTTTTTTTTTGTTTTTAGTTAATGTTTAATATTTTTTTATAAAAGTCTAACTCATAATAAACTGCATTCAAATGCGCATTTAAAACTTGGCAAACAAATTTAACAAATTTTCGTCTGAATTTTTTAAATTGTAGTATTATAAGGTGCAGATTTCAAACAGCTAAAAAATCACGTTGATTGTTTATATAGTACATATTTTTTTTGCGCCGGACTTTTACTGTTTTTATTCATACATACATATATTTATGAAAACTAACGTTGATTTTTTAAATTTTGTTTTCGAACGGGCTTGCGCATTTTATTCAGCCTTATCATCAGTCTCATTTTTCCCGAACCGGATCACTTTTCACTTTTTGTTTCGATGACTGTATTTACCAGTATTTACTATGGGCGGATGTAAAATTTTCGAGTGAATTTTTTTCGGGTGAAACTCATGATAAGGCTGATTATTTATATTGACATTTTATGCAATTAAAAATTTTCCAAAGGCCCAGAAAGATTCAATATTACATTTTGATCATTTCGTTGTAAGTTATAATTTGAATGAGTTACATCATTAGCAACACAGCACTTAAAAGTGACAGACTGCACATCAGCTGGTGTTTGATTGATTAACAAATTATTCAAAGTTTTTAATACCACGACTGGCAGTAAAAATCCAGCCCGACATTGCTAAGCTTTTTCGATTTACATAGCACAATTGATATTGTTTAAAAAATGCACCCATAAAGTATGCATATTCATATGTGGTATTTACATATGAATGTATGCATGTAAGAATGTTTTTAGTTTTAAAATGATAAAAGGTAGGAAAAAGTGTTTAGGCAATACTAAAGCGTTGAAAGTCCTTGGCTGGATACACCCATGTGCATACATAAATGCTTACATATGTATGTATGTATAAAATGAAATCAGTAAAATCGTTTAAATACCGCATTGAAGGTAAAACAGGCATCGGCCGAAGAAACAAAATCGCATTCATACCTTAAAGAGCGTGTCATACGTGGCAATATTTCCAACTTTTCCACCCAATTCGCTGTCAAATTCTGAAAGAGAACTTTCATTTCGTTGTGTGAACAGCCAGTAAGACCGTCCTGCCCCATTTCGGAAATCAGTTTCAGAAATAAAAGTTGCAAAATGTGACTGCAATTGAGAGAGAGCAAATCGATTTCGGAAATACATAAATTTCCACTTGCTCGTGCTGCATTGTCACATCTGATACGTTCTTAATAATACCGACTATGTAGTATGTAAATACAAATTTAAAAAATTTTTTGAGTATACAGTTTTATAGGTCACCCATTTTTACTGTGATATCTTAGTACCTAATGTGCAAATTTTAATTGTCTTAACATTCATGTTGATTTTTAGTAATTTTTTTCCTAAGCATTTCTCCCACCAAAACATTTACCGCACTTTATATGATAAAATTGAATGGGCTGTAAAGCGGCATAACCGATTTTTTGTTTAATTCTGATTAAAAAGTTTGAATTTTGATGTAACTTTGTTGAAACTTTGTCTTCATTGCTTATACAATTAACTATAGTTTTATAAAAAAATAATGAATATTAAATCAAAGAGAAAAAATACTCAAAACTGGTACTAATGTCGCACACCTATTATTTGTTTACCACTGTACATACAAAATTCTAAAAATCAAGTAGTTCAAGTACTCGTACTTTGCCCGTTTATTATGATCCGCTGGCAACCGTTTGCACTCAATCAGTTGATGAGTCCCTTCAGAATGTCCATCCATTATGCTAGTGCCTCACGTGTTTACTCCCCATCAGCGTTTTAGTAATCCATGCCAAAACATATCAACCGTCACCACAAGTAGGTATATAATACATACTCGTACATATGTACATATACGTACAGTACTGGTCATATCTATAGCAGCCCCATTTCAAAGTGATATTGTTCGCAAATCGAAATACAGCTCATTCTCTAACAAAATCCATATAAACTCAAGTTTAGAACTTTGTGAGGGACTAAACAAAATTCAACAAATCTCAAACTTTTTTCTCAGAAGTAACCAGAATTTATTTTTATATGGAAGAAATCCGCACCTTATTAGACAAAACTTGAATAAACTATAAAAGTGTGTGCTCAAAAAAAAAGAAAAAGTATGAAGTTTTGGGTGAAATTTCTTTTAAATTTTTTGTAGTCTTCTGCAAAGTTTTAAACTTGGGTTTATATGCGTTTTGTTAGAGAATGAATTGTATTATAATTGAAAACTCCTAAAAATAAATAAATAAACATGAGCGGCAAACAATATCACTTTGAAATGGGGGTGCTATTATATTGGCCAATACTGTACTGTTGCCTATGTACTGTACTGTTGCCTATGTACATATGTATGTACTTAGATATCCGCTTTATTCGCAAGTGGCCCCATTCGTTCTGTGGCCATCAGCTGAGTTCAGTAACTTTTACACTACCTATTGTACTATGTGATGCAAATGAAAGCAATTGTAGCGAAAAATAGCCACTTTAAAGTAAAACTATAAATGTGTAAAATACATACAAATGATAAAAAAAGAGAAAAAAACTCGTAAAATGTGTCAATGATTCGTTAATTGCCGCTGCGATTTTTGATGTTGCTCGTTTGTTTTCAATTGTTTTGTAAACATTTTCGTTGCTTCTGTAGGAGTAGTGCACAAAACAATCAAGAAATCAATATACTACATACTTTATTAAATTTTTTATTATTTACTTACTAATTGTATTCCATGTATGCACAAATATATGGACATACATATGTACATATGTATGTATGTATGTAGGTATATCATTCCATCATAGTTATATTTTCCGCTGTTGCATTCAATGAACTGCATTACTAATTTATCACAATTGCCTCTTTGCCACTGTGTGTGAATGTTATTATATGTATGTATACCAGAGACCCTGTAGGGATATTCGCTAGTTCAGAAAAATCGTCTTCTTTGAAAACTATACAAGATTATCGCAATACAAATTTGCTAGTTGTTCTAAAAATATTACTCACATTCTAACTTTTCGAGTTTACATCGACTACTATATAATGAAAAAAAAAAATCAGCCCAATAATTGCACGACAGCGGTGTTTACGTTACCGCAACCACACTCAAAATAAAAGCAGAGAATACATAGTGCTACTACCTATTAAACATAATCCAAAAATTCATATACTTCAATGGATGAAAATGAGATCTGTTAAATAATCATAATAATTATTAATTAAAGCAGGTTTTTTTGGTTACTATTTAATGATTAAATTGCATTATTTGCACATTGTAATGGTTAATAATTAGCTGCTTTATAAAAAACTTAATGATTTAATTTTAATTACACGGTTTTTTTGTTATTTTTGATAATTTTCAATTATTTTTTAATTATTTTTAATTACATAATTAATATAATTTCATGATTAGTTTCAAATTCTGATTATTTTTAATTGCATGATTAATATGATTACATATGTTGGGCCATTGATTATTTTCAATAATTTTTGATTTTTTTAATTACGTGATTAATATAATTATTTGATAATTTTTGATTATTTTTGGTTTTTGTTTTCAATTTTGTGATTTATTTCAACTTGTGGATAATACATTGCAATGCAATTATTATACACTGGCGGCAGAAATAACAGACTCGTCATACTTTCAAATAAAATATAAATCCGCCTTTCAAAATTTGAACAAAAATTATAAAAACTGGACAAATAGAATAATAAAATAATTAAAAACAATCAAATAACTAAAAAAATTACTTGATTAATTTTGATTATTTTTTAATGGCAATTAATCATGATTATTTTGGATTATTTTTAGTTATAATTAATTATTAATTGTATGGTAAAATATTCATTAAAATTAAAAAAATGCAAACAAATTTATGATTCTAATCGTAATGGAAATTTAACTATAAATTAATTTGAGTTACGTCTTTCCTACAGGGTATTTATGTGTACTTGAGCACATGTAATCTATTTTTGAATCGTAAAGGCGCATTTAACTTAAATAATAGACTTATGTATGTACATACACGATAATATGAAAAATAAAGAAATTTGGCGTATGCATTTGATGTAC